TTAAATTAGTGCTGTACAGAAATTTTAAAATGCAGAAGAATCTTTTTTTACTTTGGAGCTGATTCCTCAGTACCAGTCTGTTGTGCGTCTCTCGTGCTGAGCAGCCATTTTGGGATTGTTGAACGCTGCAGGCTGCTGGATTTGGACTTCAGATTTTTCTCAGGTTTGTTTCAATTCAGCTTGACGTCGTTGTTTCCTTCAGTGAACACTTCTTCCTCCACTGTAGCTGCATGGAAAACCTTAAATGACCCCAAACTCCAGATCGACAGCTTGGGAGTCCTTTCTGTTCCGTTTTGGTGTCACATTTTAAATTTGCCCTACAGAACATGGCGCTGCACACTTAGTTCTGCATATAAACATTCTGCATGTGCTCAGGTATTAAACGATGCCGTTTTTGTTCAGTGCCTTTGGCAAAACGGCTTCATCGGATAATTTCATTACTTCGGTATCAATACGGCAATAGTTAATCGTGTTTACTTGTGTTCCTAATGGCTGCAGCAAATCTTCTGAGCCGCAGGTGAAACACTGCGTGGATTTCTGGATGATTTGTTGACGAGGAAGAAGTAAAAGGAGTTCCTCAGAAGGAGCACATTTCATCCTTAAAGACATGAAGAGATCATTTGTAGTGTCAGTCAGTGGGAGAGGAAATGTGGAGTTGTTTCATGTCAACCTCCTGCCTGGTGTGATGTCATCAACCTAAATGCACATAATTTGGAGTAAACAGTTATTTAAAAAAAAATTGCTTTTTCTGCAGTTCCTTTAGCAAATGCCATACCATCATCATCCAACTGTGATTTTATAATCATTGCACAGTTGGTATCGAAAGATAATTTGTCACCTGTCGGTAAATTTAGAGGGATTTTATTTGAGATGCACTGGTTAGTAGGCCAGAAATCTGATTCTGACAGTTCAGATCGGTGTTTGGTCGGTCAGTTACTAAAACCTCAGATTTTCTCCCAATCAGTAAAGATATCACACAATTTGTGATCTACAGAAAACATCGGATGAAGGTTAGCGACATGCTTTGATTCGTTGATGGGGAAATCCTTCATTTTTATTCAAAACTACCACCTCTACTAAAGAATCAGCAGATCAACTTTTACATGTTGTTAACCCGAGGAGGGGGAAACGTATTGGAAGGTCAGACTTTAAAGAAAACTTGATAAATGTATCCACTAGGGGGGAAAAAACCTTTTCATTCAAGCTACAGTAGCAAATTTGTCCACTTGTATACTTCGTAAATGTTAGAGTTGTCATTTGGTCATATCAGTCCTAATATTACGATAACTAAATCTACATCGCTTCTTCATTTAAAGGTTTTTGATTGTCACTGTTTCCTTACTTCAATAAAAATAATGACAACATAAACCCTTACAACTGAGATGATTTATGTTAGAATTTTTTTTAATCCCCCTTTTTTTTAAACTTAAAACTGAAGATCATCTCTCGAGAAAATCTGAAGAAAATTTAGAATATGGTTGAATTCACTCTCATCAAGAAAGCCAATTATCAGGCAGAGAGACATGCAGGTCTTCCTTTCGCTAAAGCAAAGCAATACTTCACCCTACATGAAAGCACACCACATTTATTTCTGAAGACATCATTGCAGCTCTTTTGAAGGAGGACATTTTAAAGTATATGCCATATGAATGCCTTCTTGTGTAATTTAGAAGTTTTTTTTTTTTTTTTATCCGGGTGTTTTATTTTCACGCGGCCCCTCATAGGGAGGACTTTGCGAATTTATTTCCACGCCTTTGAGTTTAATTCTCAGAAGCACGATAAGTTTTCAGACATTTCAAATGGACAAAAATCTAATTTTCTGTTCTTCCTCCCTCTTCCCTCCAAGCACACACATCTACTCTTTCCTGCTCTCCATCCGTCTGCCCCTCTGCCTCCCACCTTTGGGTGCGTTTTTTTTTTTTTTTTAGCGCGGTGCCTGGCTGTTTAGAGGCACTATGCATATGTATGGGCGAGACGGTGGATCGTGACGGGATCTGACATGCAGGGACAAGATCAAAGCGCTCCATCTCATCCCGTAAAAACAGACGCAAACCTTCCTCTCATCCGTACAAAAACCCCCACCGACTCTGCCAGCTCCTCCACTCCTCCATCTTCCCTCTTCCCCCCGGCTTCCTGTTCTCGCGCCACCCGTCCCGCCACGCACCCAGCGCGCGCACGTTTCCGTCAAGGCCTGGGCTGACTTGGCGATTACGCCTCGGTGATAAACAATGGCCCCCCGTTTAGCTCATAAAGCAAAAGGAGTGTTGTGCATAATGCTTACAATAAAAGATAGCATCTCTTCACTCATCTTATTTACCTCTGCCTGGCAGACGAGCTGTTTCTATAAATACCACAGGGAGGGGAGGGGAGAGGAGGAGCCGCAGAGGCTGCTGGTCAAATAAAGTCTGGAGATGAGAGTTAGAAACCAGGACTCGCATTTTTAAGTCAGGTTTCGTTTGTGTAGCACATTTCAGCAACAAGGCGGATCAAAGTGCTTTACATCATAAAAGCATCACAGAGTCGAGCAATAAACATTAGTTTGTCGAAATGTCATCATCAAGAAAACACACATCAAACGCATTGATCAATGTTCGACTTTATTGCTAATCAAAGGCAGCTCTACACAGGTGGAGTTTTAAGCCTTGATTTAAAGCACGTGTTTCAAACTCGAGGCCCCGGGGACAAATCTGGCACGCCACAACTTTGTATGTGGCCCACTGGAGTCTAGAGGAGCACATGAATAAAACTTTAAAGATAACAGTTGGGTAATTTTATTTATTTTTTTATTTTTTATCAGTCGAATCAAAGCTGTTTTTATCTGCGTCCTGCCAAATTAGACAGCTCTGGAAAAATTTCATGGAAAACGTCACGGTTTTTCCACCAAATATCGATTCTGAACTCTTCCTGAGTTAAAACATTGGTATTGTTGTTTCTAAATGAATATTAACTTGTTTTCTTTGCATTATGTGAGGTCTGACAGCACTGCATATTTTTTTGTCATTTTGACCGTTTTCTGTAAATAATAAATTTTTGATTGGAATTTCGGAGACGTATCACCAGCAGTTCATAGAATAAAAGAACATTGTTCATTTTACTCAAACATATACCTATAAAGAGTAAAATCAGAAAACCTGATCATTTTAATTGGTCTCTTAATATGTTGTATCAATTCTGATTAAAAGTTACCTAACTTTAAGAAGTACTCACCGAATGCAGAGATATTTATTCATATTTTAACGATTAGCTAATGCGTGTTTTTATCTTGATACGTTCTACAACATTCGTCATCTTAAAATGAGTTTGACACGCCTGATTTGAATGGACTCGGTGTTTCGGCTGTTTTGCGGTTTTCTGGAAGTTTGTTCCAGATTAGTGGAGCATAGAAACTGAACGCTGTTTTCTTCCATGTTTGGTTCTGGTTCTGAGGATGCAGAACAGAACCAGAACCAGAAGACCCGCAACAACAGACCTCAAACGCACTTTGGTGCTAAGCCATTAAATGAGCGTCTAGCTTGACAAAGGCATCACTTTAAAGCTGCCTCATCCTTCCTCGCAATTGAGCCGAAAACGCCCCTTAAACCGTCGCTTGGCGACATCTTCATCACATCTAGATCCATCTCCATGGAGCATATAGATTGATATGAAAGCCAGCCTCCATCCCTCCAACCTCCCCCCTACACCTCCACCCTCTCCCTCTTCCTTTCCAGTAAGAAAGATGTATGAGTTTGAATTATTGATTCAGACACATGCTACATGCTGCTCGGAGTCATTATTTGTTCAGGTGAGTGTCACGCTGCTCGCTATGAAACAGATACCGCGGGGATTAAGCGACACAATCAGGACTTAAAGACAGCCGCCCTCCCTAAAATAACACGGCCCCTCGCTGCAAGACGAATGCTCCCCAAAAGCTGACTTCATTTGTTTATGACTCGCGCATTAGTCATTCCGCACCTAAATTATCGCACGGGGGTAAAGATTAATTCAAGCACAGGCGGGTTTCGCTATTGTCTTCTGCGTTTTTGTTCTTTTTTTTCTCTCTCTTTCTTTTCCTCAAAGCCGAATAAGGCGGCGGATGAATATAGGTGCAAACATCCTACACACTGATTAAAAAGCCAGAGCTTTTTTTTTTCCTCATCTTCTCCTTCTTTTTCTTCTTCTTCTTTCTTTTTTATCAATCGTAGGCGTGAAGAATAGACAGATGTCCAGAGCAAAGACAGAATGGCGTGCATATTCACACGCCATATTTTGAGCGCCTTAGGCATCATCCAACAAAAACAAAAAATTGAAAAAATAAAATAAAAAATGCACCAAACATTGAGTCACGCCTTACATTCATTGACTTGATTCTGACGATCTGAAGCTGTAGATGGCTGGTGATTTTAAAACAAAACGCTGCGCAGTAGAGCGGGTTCTGACAGGCAGAGACGCTCCGGTTCAAGAGCCTTAAGAGGATAGCAGGAGGTAAAATGTTGCTAACTGTTCATTTAGCCCTGGCTAAGTGGTTGGGGACACTGGACAGGTGAACTCTATTCTCCCCACTGGCCCTGCAGGGTGTGTGTGTGTGTGTGTGTGTGTGTGTGTGTGTGTGTGTGTGTGTGTGCGCGTGGACTGTAACAGAATTTCTCCAGTCCTCTGGGCCCTGGTGCAAAGCAGAGAATAAATGGTGGAGGTGGCAGGCCTGGACAGAAAAATCAATGCCTGCTTATACAGACATGACACACCAGCAGCCAACTGCATTCTGTGTGTGTGTGTGTGTGCGCGTGTGTGTTTGGATGTACAGAACACAATCACACAGCCCCCGTGCTCTGTGGGTGTAAGTACTAGTGCCCAGCAAACCCCCATTTCCTCTCTCTCTCTCTTTCTCTTTTCCTCAGTAGATTTTCTACTGTTTTTTTTTTTTTTTTTTAACATCAGCTTTGGGATCAGTAAATAACTCCTTGTTTTATCCCCTCCTCTCTCCTCCTGGTCCCTCTCCTCTTGCCTCTCTTACCCTCCCGCAGGAAGTTTGAATGCGAGCTGTGCGACCGCTCCTTCAGCGAAAAGTGGGCCTTGAACAACCACATGAAACTGCACAACGGGGAGAAGCCGTACAAGTGCATCTGGCCGTCCTGCCACTACGCCTTCCTCAACCTGTCGGCCATGAAGGACCACTACAGGACGCACACCGGTGAGACACAGACACCGATTCTCAGCGGTCGCGCCTCCCGTCCTCCAGCCACAAAAAAGAAAGGGGTGCAAAAACACGTGTTTTGCACCTTGAACTTCTTGACATTGCAACCTTGAACTTCAACATAAATGGTTTTGTTCATGCTACCCCGTTTTAATTAAATCAAGCGCAGCTGATATTCTTCAGTCATCGAAAAAGAGAGAATGGAGCTCCAACTTAAAAAAAATTTTAGCTCATTTGTTATGTGTAATCGAGCTGAGAGATCCTCAGCTCAGGTGGGAAAATCTAATGACACAACAAGTATTAATCGTACATTCTGCAAATCTGCTGTTTGTAGAAGAAATTACTGGAGGCATGTGGAAGAAGTTGATCTGACTGGGCCCTGTTTTGTGTGGGGAGGAGCTTTGCTGTGTAACACAGTAGAGAGAGTGTTATGCTGTGGGAATGGTTTCCTTTGGCAGGAAAACTAATAAGAATCCTGGAGGAACAGCCAGCAGAGACTAAAAAGAGACCTGGGAAGAGGTTTTACCCTCCAGCTGGACGGTCATTATTATCCAGCTAAAGCTACAAAGCGAACGATTTGGATTAAAGCATACTCACGTCAAAATCTTACTGAGAATCTGTGGCAAGACTTGAAAATTGATGTGCACAGAAGTTCTCCTTCTCCGTCTGACCGAGCGTGAATTCATTTCCAAAGAACGGGCAACGTCTTCACATTTGTAAAGAAAGATCAGCAAAGCACGTACCTTTTTCGCCTCTACTTCACATTTGTGCGCTGCTTTTGTTTCGGCCTCGTGCAAAATCCCAATAAAACACAATGAACTTTTGTGGTTGCAACGTGGCAAAATGTACACAAAAAAAGAAAAAGTTCACAGGGCAGGAGTGCGTTTGCGAGACATTACGAGTGGCACTCTAAAGGGCGGGTTCCATGAGATTTGAGGTTTATGGGCAGTCGACAAGTTTGGGACAAAGAGCTGTTTATCCGTGCTTGGATCCGCTAAAATCCACTTTATGGCTGCGGACGTGAGCGAAAACGAAGTTTATGTGAACTGTGAAAATCTCACATTTACCATGAATCTTCTCAGCCTTGGCTAGAAGGAACATTCACAAGTTTGGGCCAATAATAGCCGCCGCTCGTCCATCTGTAGTCGTTATGAACATCCAGGCGAAGTGGAGCCAGCTCTTGGCAGCCAGTTGGACGGTTAAACACAACCTCCTGATCCTGATAGAACTGTGACTGTTATGAGACGCCTCGTCGGCCAATTTATAGTTTAAAGGGGAGAAGATGAGCAGTGCGGGGGAATCTTCGGATTCTTCTGTTTTTGTTTTCTGCCGCCCTCAACACTTGGAGGGGGGTCACGTTGCAGGGGCTATTAAGGTGGCGTGCGTTTCCAAATCTAACGGCTGAAGCTGTGTGGTTTCTCCCCCCTCCGCCCAAAAGGCTCCATCTGGACACAGAGTGTGTTTTCTTCGAATCCAGCTGGTCACTAAGCATGTTTTGGTAAAATCCATCTGATGCCTGAGAGTTTTTGTTTTTGTTTTTTTTTCCACACTGTGGACCGGTTGGTGTTGCCTTTTGAGGGGGAGGGGGGGGTAAAAAAAAATGATGCAAATCCGAGCAAAAAAATAATCCTCAGAAGAAGAATGTTTATGTAAAAGCAAAAAAAAAGAAAAAAGAAAAAGAGTTGGACTTTGTAAGAAAATGCAGAAATCTTTTTTTTTTATGTAAACATGTTGTACATGCTGTAATATCACTGCAACTCCCCACTAATAGGGCAACATCAGGATTAAAGTTGGTTTAGGTAGTTTCCTTTAATTTAAATCAACAAATTGATGCGGCGGAAAGATCCAACTTTCACGCTCATCGTATCCGAACTGAAATCTCCAGAAAAGCGATGGATCTCTAAGCAGAGCCGAGATCAAACAGGGGGGGTTAGGGAGTGGTGGGGGGGGGGGGTGTCATGGGGTTTCAGATTAGTGCACATTTTCATTATGCCACCTTAATTCTGTGCAGCGGCTTGTCTTTCCAATTCCACCACTCCTTTTCGTCTCTGCAGATCCGATAAAACACACTGTGCTGCTGCACTGAATGGTGTTTTTTTTTTTTTTTTTTACTTGCTAAAAACTTTGGATCGACAGATGGTTCAGTGGGCGGTGGGAGGATACTGTCTTGAATAATAGCCCCTCGATAGGAGCCCAAGTCAGCCTCTTTGAAAGTGTCTTTATGCTGCAGCCCAGCGGTTTCCCCTCGGCCTCGGTAATGTCCCACACATGGCTCCTTGATGCCCTTTTAAGTCAATGACAGAAGCAGCAGCAGCCACCGGCCTGACAGGCTGACTGAGCGCTTGCAGCAGAACCCTCCATCCGTCACAGGCGCCCGCTGTGCGCGCAGACTCTCAAACCTGTGTGTGTGTGTGCACGCGCGTCCAAGATTTGCTGGATGTTATTCTAAATGTGTTTTAGCAGTGATGTAGCGTCAAGGCGTCTCTGACATAATTAGACGTTTTATTTTCATTAGTTTCCAGCTCTCATCACTCCTCATCAGGCGGCTGGCGTCACACTGTCACCGTAGCTGTCACCTGCGGAGGAGCGAGGTGCCACGTGCGTTTGTGCATGTGTGTGTGTGTGTGTGTTTGCGTGCTCGGGTCTTTGTGCGAGTTCAGCAGGAGGGAAAACGCGCTCGAAAGAGGGAGAGAGAGAGGGTGATTGAGATGGTAAAAAGTTATTGAATAAGAGAACTTGAAAGATCAGGGGGTGAGCAAATATGAAAGCGGAGGGAATTAAGAACAGACCTGAAACAACCTCATTTCTAGTGAGCGACAAGGCCTGACTTGATTAGCGACACTCGGAACGCTAACGCAATTTGCACCGCCGTGACCTCCAACACTCCTTTGTCGGTAATTGGTGCTGGGTTGGACGGTTAGCTGCAGCCTTCCCGTCGCCACAATCACATTCCGGGGGCCCACCTGACACGCTGAAATATTATCTGCATGTTTGTGATCTGTTTAGGGGTTATAAATCGACTCCTTCGCCGAGCTACGATGCAATACTAATAAAATAAAGAGATTGAGAAGTTGAACTGATCTGTCCAGAGATCAGAGCTGTCAGGAACGGAGAGGATGTGAGCTATGGTCCTAATGCCAGAGGCGGGGGCAACGTGGAGGAGTAGAGTCTGTGGTTCTTGTGTTGAACACAAGCATAACTTGCTGTATCTTAAGTGCAAGTAGATATTTTTGTTTTGTTTATAAAGGTTCAACCTGCCAATGCTGATTTTAGCCATTTTCTATTCCTTTTTAACTCCATAACAGCATCCACACTAAGGAGTGTTATTTCAGTCATTGCAAGCAATTAGCCCTTTGTGTTGTACCCCATGTATCATTTGATCACCAGCCATTTTTTTCTTTGCATCTGTTGTTGTAAACTGTGAATTTTAACAAGAAATTTGATGAGAATTGCAACACCAGAAACCTTATTTGGTAGGTAATCCTGAAACTGCCTGACTACTGAGGTTTTCCAATCCATCCGTCCTGAATTTCAACTACTATGAGAGGATCAGCTTGAAGTCAAAGCTAAGTTTAAATTACAATAAAAACTGGAAATCTGAGTCTGGAAAAACGTGTAATTTTGACTTGAAAATATGGAGGAACTCTGAGAATATGTTGACATATAGCTGAAAAATAAATTGTTTCAACATTTTACACTTCTTCTCCTCACAGCGCTGAGATGAAATGGAAAGCCAGGCTTCGTGTTGTTTACTGTGTGTAAACAGAAGATTAAAATTCACTCAGTAAAACAAAGTGAGGAATAATCAGTGATGGGCATGCAAGCAATGAGTCTCGGTTTTGAATTATCATATTATCACATTCTGAGCTGATTGTAGTCATGAAAGGGAGCAGACCAATCCAGGGAATGTTGCAAGAGAAACACGTTGGCATTACTGAGGGCGGTGGTAGTTAATCTGAGGGATGCTGACCACACAGCACGATACACGATATATTCTGTATCCAGGTCCAACCCTCTGCTCAGTCAGCACAATGGAAACGGTTTAACAACTAGATCATGTCTTTCCAGATTTTGGTATCACCTACATGGCTCCTTATGAGAAAGGAGCCATGTAGGTGCACTACTAACCAAAAGTTAGTAGTGCAAGATTGTTAAGGCTCTCATGCTTCCTCATGCACAGGATGTTTCCATCTATTATAAAACTCCTTCAAACAAGGCCAGTTATGGAGCAGAAACTGCATCACAGTCGGTCTGCATTTTTAATAGAAGACTGAAAAAGTCCTTTCTTGAGGGTACATCCAATCAGCGGCAAGGAAAATAATGCAGACCCTCGATTGGATGCTTTGCAAATGCCAGCCATGTCAGGTAGAACATGTTCTAGTAATTTACTTTAAAATCTGCAATTAGGTGCATTCACAACTTTTGAACCGTGAATAGTTGGAGGTCCATTGCAGCCAGAGGGAGCTGGTGCCAGTCTGTCGCGGTCTCGCTACCTGTTCATCCTGAACAGGTAGCGAGTCTGTGATAGGGCAACAGAGGGCTTATAAGAAAAAAAATCATCTGAATGTGGAATAAAAAGTTGTAAACATTTATTTGTATACACCAAACAATGATTCAAATATGAACAAAAAGGGTTTTTAATTAACCTGTTAGCTTCATAACGCTGTTAGCTAGCATTCTTACTTATTAGCCTAAAGGTAGAAAATGGAAATTACGCGGTTGGCTAGAAACGCTAACTTATTAGCCTACAGGTAGAAAACAAAAAATATGCTGTTAGCTAGCAGTGCTAACTTATTAGCCTGAAGGTTGAAAATGGAAATTACAACGCTGTTAGCTGGCAATGTTAACTTATTAGCTTAAAGGTTAAAAACTGAAATAACATACCTCCTTTACTTTATGCCTATGTCAGCACTGCCTTTCAGTGATTCTCATTTTTAAAAAGTCATCATTAAAGTCGAAGTGTTTGTGATTAAATGTTAACTATTCAAGCTAGATAG